TTATTTGCTTATTATTATATTAATTATTACTAAAACATATGTATAAAATAAAAACTAGGGAATTAAATCTCATTTCAGATATGTAGTATAAATATTAATAAGTTAACATTAGGCACTTGTGACTTTAAGTAATAAATATTATGCATTTAACACAGATATTTATGTGTTTATGGAAGTTATGTGGTTTAAAATAAACTTTTGCAACTTTAACAGTCATTCCGCATGTTTAACTTATACATTTGCTAACTTAATTAGACATTCACTAAGAATTTTAACTTGGTTGATAATGCAAGTCTTTATCTTTAATACTAACTTTTTAATTATTTTACATACAGTTAAAATTATAGTTCTCAGTGATATATTCTATATAATTTCATAAACAAATAATAAAAGATAAGTTGCGTTTTATTTAAATATATCACAAAAATTTTTCAAATTCAATTTTGTACTATGTAGATCCTCTACCCTTAAATTATAATACTTACCCCAGCATGGTGGACATTCAATTTGTGTTACAAAGTAACATGCGCGCATTTCCAAATAAGTACATCAATTTATTTGTTTATTGTGATACAGAAATTGAAAGTTTTATTGGTTGATCAAATAATAAAATAATAATATAAATAAATAGTAATAGTGAAATTAATTTTCAGAAGTATCCATTAAAGGTTCTGGAACAGGTTCTAATTTATTTTTTAAAAAATTATCATTAGAAAACTATAAAATAATAAAAATTTTTATTATAAATTTTATTTACCTTGTTGTAATTTAATTAAAGCAGCTCTAATATTTATATTGAGATTGTTTGATGGTAAGTTAGAATTGAATTCATCAAAATTATCATCATCATCATCATCATTTGGTGATGATAAATCTAATTCATCAGGATTTTCTAATTCAATTTGATCAGTTTTTGTAACTTGACTTTCCAATCTATCATTGTAAGAGGATGATAATACATTAATTCCATCTACAAGATAATCTAAACAATAATGACATTTAAAACTCATCTTTTGAAAACACTCATTATGATATCCGTGACCACATATTAGAACTTTTCCATAAAGTTGTAATTGATCAATTTCTATATTAATATCACAATCTTTTGCATCACAAAATATGTTGAAGTTTGGAGGACTTTTTGTGTGATATCCTGTAGGTAAAGTCCCTATTTTCATAATTTCATTTAATACAAAAAACTTATGACCAGTTGATTTAATTGGTCTTGTTATAGATTGTGGTGCATGCTGTGGAGATGTTGAATTAGACCAAATGTTTTGAAAAAATTCAATAAGGAAAAGAGCTGTCTGTTTTACCATAATATCAATATTTTTTTTAGTATATGGATATTTCTTAGTATTAACAAAAGGTTTCATAAAATCATTATTATGTCTTTGATTATCAATAGATATTGCATCACGCCTCAATCCTTCTGGGTTATAATTTTTACCCACAGTATGTCGACGAATTAGGCTATGAAAATTTTCTACAAAATATTCATTAAATTCTTGTAAATTTTCAGATAAAATATTGTACATAGGATGTTCAATGCTTTGCCAATAAAGAACATCAGAGATAAAAGCTATCATTATCTTATCATAATTTTTTCTTCCAAATCATTTCATAATAGTCCAAAGTCAAAAGATTGTTTCCAAATATTCTTCAAAATGACCTTCACAAAATAAAATTGCATAAATATCCAATGTTGCTGGTACAATATTATCTAATAAATCTAAAAATGTGTGATATTCAAGATTTTTTTGGATGCCAAATTTATTAATAACTGTATCTCTAATAATCATCCATCCTGATCGTGAGATATACAATAAATAATTTACCAACCATGGAGGAGGTGTAAGTGATAAATTTTTTGTTTTCTTAAATATCTTCTTATATAATAAATTGAAAAATGGGTGATATAATTTTATTGTTGATTCTCTAGTATTTAATGATACATGTAAAGGTCCTAAAAAAGGTACTAGATGAAGTATTTGATTAGGGATATCTATATCATCACCATATAATCTTTTTAAAGTAATAGCTTTACGAACATAATATTGACCAGGAAAATCAGCTGGAACTGGAATGGCATACTTATTTAAATATTCTTGAAGTTCAGATAATTCAACAAATGGTGTTATAGCTTGAAGATAATCAGGTAAAGATTTCAAATCTTGGGAAACAAAATCAACAAGTTTTACAGTATCCATTTTCCTATTTTCATGTAGATTATTTTGTAAATCAATGTCATAAGTATGTATCATAAGTGAATTGATAAGTTCACTTTCAGGGAGCTTTGAACTATCTGGTATACAAAACCATTTAGAACTTTGTTCCGTATAACTAATCCCAAAACGTAAGATATAATCATATTTTAAAGCCCAGCTAAGTAATTCAGCATCCACATTATTAGGATTATGTATTGTATGAATATCATCATCGAAAGATGAAGATAAATAAGGTATTGGAGAAAGTCTTGGTGTATGAATCATAGTTGTAGCCATATGTGCAACATCAGATAAGGATGTAGTATTGGGTAATCTTTTTTGATGTATGTCGTGGTAATCATCAACCAAATATATAATAAGTGAATCAATCTTATAATTTAATAGTGCATATAAAAAAGAGATTAAATTAATAATATTGTATAAAATAATATAATAAAATTATTAATAATAATAGTACATACATTTTGTTTAAGATATTCAATTAATCTCATTTGATGAGACTCTAAATTTTTTGTTTTTTCCCTAATTGCTGTTTTATAAGTAGAAGTAATTCCTATGTTTGCCAAAGTATCTAATCCAGATGATGATGTTCCTGTATTAACCATATGTGAAGCAATTTTATTCTTTACCAAACTAAATTGTTTATTTCTTAAACCTGCTAGTTGATAACATAACATCATTATTTTTAATCTTAAACTTTTAATTGTATTGGATTTTTTTTTTGCTGGATCCATACTTTCGAATAACATATTGAAAAAACCATCAAGGTTTGGATCTTTTTCTTTAAGCATTTCTTCAAATAAATCAGGATCATTTATTGGCATTTTTTTCTCTTTGTGTTGATGATTATAAAGAACTGTAGTAAGTCTTTTAATTTGAGAATTAAAATATTTAGAAAATTCAACAATATCTACGAATAAAAATAAAAATAATTAATAATTAATCTCAAAAATTGCAATTCTAAATATCTTTAACCATCATTAATGATATGATATAAATTAACTTATTTTATAAATTATAAATCCAAAAGAATTATAAAAAAAAAAAATACCAATTAAATTGTTTGTATCAACAGGCCTTGTTATATTCTCCAATTCAGCTGATAATATTGTTATATGTTGTTGGAGTTCTTTAACATGTGCTTCTAATTCTACTAATTTTGAAGATGAAGAACTTTGTACATTTGTTTTAAATAAATTATCATCATTAGATTTTTTATTAGGTTTAATAAGCATAGTGGAAATTTGAAATGTTACATTAATTTTTTATATTGTGCAACGTAACTTACAATACACGGCAAACATTCTGGCAATAAAAAGTAAGTGATAGACTAGATTTGAATTGGATCTGAACTTGATCTCCAATTTAGAGAAGTAACAACTATATACTGGTGAAGTTTCAAGAGCAATGGGTTCTGTATAACATTAAGTGTAACAAAAAACTTCCACTATGCTACTCTAATAGAATTGAATGCATTGGTATTATTTTTTATTGTATTATTTTTATCTTGTGGAGGTTAGACTTAATAAATGAATAAATATAATATTATAATAACAGAGGGTCGAGACAGCCTGTGTAGGTAATACAGTTAATAATTTCGAGTTATTAAAGCATGAAGTGCACAAGGTTTGTATTTTATTAAAATTAATTTTTCTATTCACAATACAAAAGTGTATTGACCTATGTATCTTTAGTTTACGATATCAACATTGGAAGATGACAAAGAACTGTGGGAAAATGTGGAAAAGAAGTTACGTGAAATTGATATAAAAGATCTTGGTTATGATCACCCATTATGTTCAGGTATATTAGATGATAGCTCGTTGCCTTTTACAGATATTTTCAAGGAACCCAAGTAAAAAATTTCTAATACCAATAAACGAGTCAATAAAACGTCTTTGTGATGAATTTTTCCAAAAAGAAAAAGAGAGGAATCTTGCAAAAACTTCAAAAAAATTTGGTGAATTTTTAGATGAACCTGGAAAATCACAAGAGCTAACAAATCAAATGTTAGAGGCATTAAAGCGGATCTGGATATCACCAGAATGGAAATTATTTACGAGAACTGGGGAACCTACTATAAACGAGAGATCATATGTATGTGAGATTATTCCACCGTTACTTAACATTTCAATGAGTGAATTACCAGTAGACTCAAATGTATGAAGAGTATGGTACGATTTAGTTAAAATCTTTTAAATTATTGTATTTTTGATGATACTAACATGGGTTTTTCTTTATAAAGAGGAGATCAGGCAAGTTCAGCTATTGTTGAGCGAAAGGAATCTTATAAATGTGCTAAACGACCTGATTATATGGTTATAATACAAGTAAAAAGTAAGAAAATCAAAGTCGAATATCTTGAGATGGGACGTCCTGATTCTTCCCTTAATAAGCAAATACAAGATCACAAAAAATTGAACCGTCTTTCGAAAGACTCTATAGATGAGGCAAGACTGTCTAAAAATGAAAGAGTCTTCAAACATTTTGCAGTAAAAGACATGCTAACAAATTTTACTATTAATGTTGCAGGTGATGCAATGGAAATTCGTTGCATGTATAAAGAAGCTGGACTTTATAGAAATTGCTTGCTTGGACGAGTCAAAATTCGCTTAGATATATCATCCATAAAACCAGAAGATGTTTACCACCTTATACATACGATATTGACTTTTAGAACTGCCATCGCATGTACTGTGCATAAGTTATCTTATAATACCGATGATACTGAAGAAACGGCAATGTCTCAAATTTCAACATTGTCGACTATTACTTCACCACCAAGTTCACCATCTACCAATAAGTCACGAAAAAGAAACTCCAGACATTTCGAAAAAAATTAATTATTATATACTAATACTAAATACTGTTCTAAACCTTGAAAAGCCCCTTTAATTTGCTCTTTTTGTTGCTCTAACTCAAAAATTTGTTATTATCTATATATAGCTCTTAATTGTTTACCCAAGTTACAGATATCTTTCTTTATCTCTAATAGATACAGTTGATATTTCCTCATCGTATTATTTGAAGGATTGATTGGATTATCATACAAAAAAACCATTGCAATATCATTATTTAACCTTTCAATCTTTACTCAAATGTTTTCGCGCGTAGTATCAATACATCTAACTATAGCTGATTCAGACACCGCTTTGCAGGAAATAGTTTTTTTGTAAATTCATACTCAAAAATAAATTGTATATATATATATATATATATATATGCTTTTTTCGATAAAAAGTGTAATAATATTATTATTGTTAACTTACCTTATAAACCGAACTCTCTACTCTATTAAGAATTCTAATGCGTCATAGAATTCAAACATGAATGTACTACACCTTTTCATGGAGAAATTAAACCTTTCAGTCTCGCGAGTGCTTTTGTAGAATGAAAAATGAGACAAATTTTGACGATCTCGGAGATGGCAAAGATCTCAACTTCCGTAATATATGAAATATGTTATTATTACTGATAAGGAGCAATAAAGTCTCCTCCTTAATGACCTTTTTGAGTCTCAATCATGGTTGTTCTTATCGGAAAGCCATATACAATAAGAAGCTTCATTGGCGAAGCCCATATTGGAAAATTTCGTTTTTTGATTTGTGCTTATTTAGAAACTCATGACTCAATGATCATCACTTGATAAATATTCCAATTTTTTAATATTAATATTAAATAGAAGTCGAATAATCGAATCGATGTCTAATCTTAATAATAGCAATAGTAGTAATAGTAGCAGCAGTAGTAAGAGTTGTGCTGATAACAATAACAACAATAGTAATACTGGTACTGACACTAATGAGAATGAGAATGAGAATGAAATACTAGTCGAACCAAAATTTACAAAAGAGGAAATTGAAAATTTATTAAAGGAAGCTGAAGAATCTAAACATATAGGAAATGAGCATTTCTTTAAAGGTAATTTTGAAGAGGCAATAAGATATTACCAAAAGTCCGTAGATACATGTCCTGTGGAGTTGGGAGAACAAAGAGCCATTTATTGGGGAAATCTTTCAGCTTGTTATTTTAAATTGGTAAAAAAAGTCTTTTAATTAATTAATAAATTAATTAACAGTAACAAAATTCCTAACTGATTTTTTTTTTAAGCAAAATTATAATGATTCTGTAGAAATGTGCACAAAAGGTATGCTTTTTAATATCTTTATATTAATGAAAAATGCAAAATATTTATTAATATTGTTTCTCGGTAATTGTTAATAGCATTAGAAGTCTCACCTGATTATACAAAAGTATTATTTCGTAGAGCTCAATCAAATGAAAAGATCAATTCTTTAATATCATTAATGGCTGCACTTGAAGGTAAATATAATATAGATGTAATATATACACACATATATTAACCAATAAATTGATTATTTCTATATCTCTAACTTTTACTCTAACTCTTGTACTTTCTTATATTTACTCATTCTAATCAACATTAGATTATGAAGCTTTAAATAAAAATTCCATTCACCATACAAAATTAACATCACAAAATCATAAACAAATACAAACTTCTATAAGAAATTTACCAGCAAGAATTGAAGAATCAAAAGAGAAAGAGAAAGCAGAAATGATTAGTAAATTTAAAAATTTAGCAATTAGTTTTTTGAAAGCAGCAGCACAATAGAAAGATTGATGTTTGAAAGCATATGTCCATCAAATAAAAGGAAACCCGGATATGTTAAGTCTCTACCCTCATGTTTTTAAAATTTTCAGAAAATCATCCTGAATTGCAATTGGCACCACCCTTTGCAGGAAATTCACAATCAAGGAGATGTGAAAATCTATCATATTGAGTTTTAAAATACGTTATTATTATTATTATTATTATTATTATTATTATATTGCCTTTTCTCACCTGAAAATAGATAAACGGTGCCAAATTTCCAATGCAATAACAAAAGATAAATTTCTTATCGAAAGAATTTTACAAATCAGAGGTGCTTTACAAGTTTGAAGACAACTGTGTAAAGTTGGCGAATATTTGCAAGATGTTTGTTGTTAGTCAAAGTAAATATTGCTAGGTTTTGATGTATCTTCTTTAATTGCATTATGTTCAGAGAATCTCCGAAAAAGAATATTGTACACGTAAAGGAATAGTTGTCACTGAATCCGATCATTCTACCCCAAGAAGGAACCATAAAAATTCAAGACTTTAGATAGTAGAAATAAATCCGCTATTTTAGAATTACACAAGCTTTGGGGGGTTTTTTCTTACCAGATGCCTGGCACAGCCATATGCGTAATCGTCAGAATCAGAAAATTTGGTTAATCTTTCTAAAAAATTAACTACAATAAAAATAAAAAACAGAATTTATAATGAGATTATTTCAAAAAAAATTTACTACTTATATCATGAAAATTATTTTATGGCATTATGTTCACCTTGGTTTTGTTGCAATATGCCCTGCTTATCATGCTTTCATTTCCATATTTCAATAAAGAATAATAATTTCAATTGTAAATTTCCTCAAAACACATTGGACTTATTATAATAATATCTTTTGTTCAATTCATCAGAGAATTCACTATACATTCTTATACAAATAATTGTATAATAATTTAGATATATGACATATTTTATCTTTATTCTATTTGTTAATAATTATTTGCTCATGCATAGTCTCACTATCTTTACAAACACCACTATTATTTATTTACAAATTGTATACTATAATTACCAGTATTCTCA